AAAATTTAAAAAAAAAATGGATATTCTACGTCGGTTATTGCATTAACCGACGTTGAAACGTCTTTCGCTTGAGCGAAACGTCGGTCGCTTGAGCGAAACAACACCCGAGCGCCCCCTTTGTTTGAAGGCTTCGTCGCTCAAGCGAGTACACCGGTCGCTTGAGCGATAAAGGACTTTCAACGTCGGTTATCCAATAAGCGACGTAGAATTTACTCATTTCTACGTCGCATTTGCATTAATCGACGTTGTGACGTCGGTCGCTTGAGCGAAAACTCGGTCGCTTGAGCGAAACAGCAACCGAGGGTCCCTTTGGTTTGAAGGCTTCGTCGCTCAAGCGAGTAGACGGGTCGCTTGAGCGACTTCAACGTCGGTTAGTTCAATAACCGATGTAGATGTCTACCACTTTCAACGTCGGGTATGATGAACCGACGTAGAATCCTTTGACATTCAACGACGCCTGATTCAACGACGTCATTGGAACCGACGTTGAAAGCCTTCTACACCCGACGTTGAATGCTCGTTCTGCAGTAGTGAATATTTTAATTTTATGATATAAAATTCATATAAAAAAAATTAAACTCTTATATTTATAATTATTGAAATTCTAAGTTTGAATTATGAATAAATTTATTTTTTGAAGTTATTTTAATTAATTTTGTTTTTAAATTAAGTGAAATTAGTTTTGTTATTCATTTTTATTAATATTCTCAACTTATTTTATATACAAATAATTGTTAAGTTGGAGATGAATATGTGATAAGGAATGATTTTGTAAGAAATATTTTAAAAATATGGATAATTTGAATAGAAATTTAAAAGAAAATATTATGGTATTTTTAATTTTAGTTAAAATTTAATATGATTCAAACAATTTTATTGATATAATTTGTAAGAATTTAAATAAAATTAATTAAAAATAAGTAAAATATTATTAAATATATTTATTTAATTTTAAAAATATTAAAAAAATCAAAATAACATAATTACATATAATTTATATTATAAAATTTAAAATGTATTTAAAATTTCATCGATCAAAAGTATATTTTTTTAAATATGTAAAAAATTGAAACAGAACAAAATATTAAATAAAGATATATATAATAATATTGGAAGATTATTTATAAAAATAATCTATATATATATATATATATATATATATATATATATATTTTGGTTCAATTTTAAAAATAACAATGTAAAACTAATTAATATATTTATTGTGATGTATGTTTTTATTATTATTTATTATTATATATTATAATAATATTATATAGTGCAAAAACTTTAAAGTGAAGTTTTTTCTGTCCTACATAAATTTTTATATATACGTGCAAAGAAGGGGGAAGAGACATGGATTTCAACAAGTGATTCTCCCTTCCATATCACGCGTTCTTCGTTCTTCTTCTTCTTTCGTTTAAATTTCAAGCAAGTGATACCCTACTCCTGTAGGATCTGGTGAAACGGGAGAGAACTTATATTAAGTGGGAAAGCTTCGGTAAAAATACCACACAAGGTAAGGGGAAGTTTAATTCATTCAATATATGAGACTGAATTGTTGGGTACTCTGTGAATAAAGAATAGGAGTAGAAATCTGAATATTTGAACGATTGATTTTGAAGTTTTCTTCATATTTGAAAACTTGAAATTTTGTTGGAATTCTTGAAATTAAGGATGAATTATATGGTAAAATTGTTGTTTTTGACTTAAATTGAACATGTTTAGGGTTTAATTTGGATTTGGAACTAGTTTGGTTGTCTGAAACTGGAAAATTTGAAATTTGAAAAAAAGAAAAAAACTAAACATATGTACTGGGAGCGAGGAAGAAGAAAGGGATAAGAGAAGAAATTTGAAAAAGATCAAGGGTAAAATAGTCATTTTACATCCTAGGAACATAAATGAAATTTTTGAAAATGTTTAAGGGTAAAATAGTCATTTTCAGGACATGGAAGGAATAATCGAAAATGTCCAAGGGTAAAATAGTCATTTTCGGGACATGGAAGAAATAATAAAAAATGTCCAAGGGTAAAATAGTCATTTTCAAGACGTGGAAGGAATAATCGAAAATGTCCAAGGGTAAAATATTCATTTTTGGGACATGGAAGGAATAATTGAAAATGTCCAAGAGTAAAATAGTCATTTTTGGAATATGGAAGGAATAATCGAAAATGTCCAAGGGTAAAATAGTCATTTTTGAGAATGGGAAGGAATAATCGAAAATGTTCAAGGGTAAAATAGTTATTTTCAGGACATGGAAGGAATAATCGAAAATGTCCAATGGTAAAATAGTCATTTTCGGGGCATGGAAGGAGTAATAGAAAATGTCTAAGGGTAAAATAGTCATTTAGGGACATATATGGAATTTTAAGAAAAGATTAAGGGAAAAATAGTAATTTAATGATTTCGAGATGAAAAATGAATAATAGAAAATGTTTAAAGGTATAATTGGAATTTTAGAAATAAAGTAAAGGTATGTTAGGAAAAATAATTAAAATATAGAATGGAATTAGAAATTTTAAAGAATCAATAGTGTGTTGTGACGTGTGTGGGTCAGACTAAGCCCGAGGGTTGATGTATAGAATCAGTCATGAGATATTATGTATTGGCTAGACTGAGCCGGACGGTTGGTGCCTAGAATTAGTCAAGTACTATTATTTATTGACCCGAATGAGCCGTGAGGATAAGTGATCCAGAATCCGGCAGATGTGAATGATTGTTGTTGTGTTTGAATTGTACCCGGGGTGGTACAGAGTATATTAGTGTACTAACTATGTCAGAGGATTCAGATGAGGTCCTAGACTTTACTGATTGGTCGGGTCAGGTAGACTATGAGATCAGGTGGTGAGAAGTCCATAGGGGATGACTGGTGGCGTGCTCGAATGAGTACTTTAGAATGAGTGATGAAGGACGCCAGTAATTCCACTCTGTGTGGAGGGTGATCAGAATGGTATTGCGAGTGCCGACCACAATGTGCCCACAGATGATATCCTCTGAGTTCGGGCGTAGTTAGGGTAGACTTTCGGAAGACAACTTAGTGTATTGATGATTTGTAATTGATGATTTGTAATTGATGATAATATGTAAATTATTAATTCTATATCTGTTTTATTATATCGAATGATTTAATACTTACCCCTATTTTTTCATGTGGATGGGACTGCGATAATCACTTTTATGCGGGAGCAGATCAGGAGTTGAGAGGTGGAGATGCTACTACTGGGTAACATGAATAGTTTAGTAAAATGATCTTTGAGGGAGCTACTTTTGTATGCATCTATATAAATAAGTTGTGATACTATATTTTGTCTTAGAATCGCGCAGCGGAATGTTTGCGTTTCGGGACAAAAACCAAGAGGGGGGTGAATTGGTTTCTTAACAAAAATTAAGGTTTTAAAAATTTTCCCAAATTTTACCGATTAAAATGTTGTGTAAAGTAAATAGAGCAAGGATAGAGTCTTACACAGATTATTTATACAAGTTCGGATCAAAAGACCCTACGTCCAGTTGCTAATCACTCAAACAGAGGATTAACATTGTCACTATAATCACAGTTTTACAAACAGATAACAATTGAAAAGATAAGGTAACGAAAACACCTCTCTTGAGTCACACAAGAGATGAAGAATAGCTTTCCCTAGAGACGACACAACACACAATCCACCAAGAAAACCCACTTAGTGATTCTTATCGCTTCTAGCCCACACTAGGTTCCAAAAACCCCTTTTTCCTACAACAAACAGTTCTCTAGCAGTCACAGCTCTCAACTTTTGTTTGAAAAAGGTTGTTCTCTTTGCAGAGAGCCTTAGAGAACCTTAAGTAGACGAATTAGGGTTTGGGAATTGGGGATTTTCGAAACCTGATGAATTGGGACTAGGGTTTTCGAAACTTTGTCCAATTTTGAAATTCAAAACACATATCTGACTGAAATAATCGATTATCTTGAGTGTTAATAGATTATTACAAAGTCAAAATCATCAGGAACCCTTAACCACACAGTTTAATCGATTATTTGACCTGTTAACAGGAGCTTTAATCAATTATTCCAGAGAGCTGGTAAAGAAAATAGTTTTTCTCTCTGTAATAATCGATTATCCTGCCTTTTAATCGATTAATCCAATGTGTTTTTGATAAAAATGAGTTTTTGAAGCTTCTAAAGAGTAGACTATGTGCTGACTATCTTAGACTATAATATTACAGACTCAAAATCATCAAAACAGAGTTATTACATCATATTACAAGTCTTCAAATCTTTACGTCATTTGTTCTTGAATCATCATCAAAATCTACAGGTTTCATATCCATGTATGTTCAACATTCATATCCTTGTATGTTTCAACATTTTGAGGTTTCGTCAATAAATCGATATTTCAGTCTATATTACAATTACAGGTAATATAATATAATATAATATGATGTTGTTATTTACTTGTTTATTATTTTGCGAAGACATCACTATAATAACGATTTATAGGATCGTTACATTTATTACATTTAATTTTAATTTATTTATCTATTTTATTAAATAATTATTTTATATTAAATTATATTTCAATTTTAATTTATAGTAATTTTTATTAAATTATACAAAGATATGTGAGCTATTAATAAATTATACTTATCATAATTCTCACTTCAGAATAACTTTTAATTAAAAATGTTACCATGTGTTTTATTTGTTTTCTGTTTTGAAATATTTTTCAGGAAACAGAGTACAATATTTGTAAAAAAAAAATACAAATTGAAAATAATATGATATTTTTATAATTAAAAAAATAAAAATAAAAAGAAATACAAGCTTTTTAATTAGTAAATCAACTTGAAATAAGGTATAATTTAGTTTAAACTCATTCATAATTTGTTGAACCATTAAAACGGGTAGTTGCATCGCATAATATATGACACACCCTAAAACATAAATGAAATTGTTTCCGACCCATTTATGGATGAGTCCAAAGAACTCATCATTTCACTCAGGCTTTTGCAACATTTCATTTCTCACCATGGAGCTTCTCAATCCCTTCTCTCTCCTTTTCACCTTTGCCTGCGTTTTCCTTGCGTTGTTCATCTCTCAGAACCTCTCAAAAAACTTGCCACCTGGACCATGGAAGCTGCCTCTTCTAGGAAACATTCACCAATTTGTAGGGGCACTTCCCCATCAAACTCTGAGAAACTTGGCTAACCAATTTGGACCCTTGATGCACCTGCAACTGGGTGAAAAATCACACATAATAGTCTCTTCAGCAGATATTGCCAAACAGGTTATGAAAACTCATGATGCCATCTTTGCTAATAGGCCTCATCTTCTTGCTTCCAAATTCTTTGATTATGGTGGCTGCGACATAGCCTTTTCTCCTTATGGAAAAACTTGGAGGCAACTTAAAAAGATATGCATTTCAGAGTTGTTAAATGCAAAGCATGTTCAATCACTAAGGCACATAAGAGAAGAAGAGGTGGCTAAACTAGTTAGAAACATGTGTGCTAAAGAAGGATCGATTGTGAACCTCACCAAGGAAATTGAGTCAGTGACAAATGCTATAATTGCAAGAGCAGCAGATGGGAAAAGGTGCAAAGACCAAGAAACTTTCATATCATCCATGGCGCAAATGCTGCAGCTGTTGGGAGGTTTCTCCATTGCTGATTTCTACCCTTCAATCAAAATACTTCCTTTTCTTACAGGTATGAAATCTAAGCTTGGAAGGGCGCAGAGAGAGATTGACCAGATCCTAGAAAATATGGTGAAGGATCACAAGGAGAATAAGAACAGCCACAGGGAGATGCAAGAGGATTTCATTGATATTCTTCTCAAAACACACAACAGAGAAATTCCCTTGACTCTCAACAACATCAAAGCAGTCATCTGGGTCAGTATGCAATTTTGTTTAATTGTTCTTTTAGTATATAAATACTTAACATGATTTTATATTTAATCTCTAGGTTTTTTTTTCTTAATTTTTGGTTCCTAATTATTTTATATTTTATATTTACTCTCTGTCATTATCTTTATATTGATAAAAATACAATTATGATAAAAAATTAAAATTAAAAAATCTTAAAATATTTTAAAAAACAGATTTTAAGCAGGGATAAAATAAAATAAAACCTAAAATTTTTCATAGGCTTATTTGAATTTTCTGGTTTCAATATATATGATGAGAATTAGATACAATCTAAAATGTTAACCAAAGTTACTATTTACTTTTCTATTCTCCTACCTGTTGTTTCTCTTAATTAGAAGACATGCCATGAAACATATTTTTATTTCACTTATCCTTAAAATATTAAAATAATAAAATAATATTTTCATTTAATATCGTTATTTTCACTTTTATTTCATTTTAATATATTTCCTATTCAAAATTATTGGAAATTTAATATTTTTACACATAAATGTAAAAATAATAATAAATGTATGTCTTTTTATCTAACTTTATTAAAATAGCCAAATTCTCTCAATAAATATATTATATTTATTATTGGTATTGTGATTATTGAATAATTAAGACAGATAAGTTATTTAAAATTAATTTTTTGTAAGGTATAACATGAGAAAAAAGGATAGTATTATAAAATAAAAATATCAAATGGTTTAGAATAAATTATAAATACTAAAATTATATGTAATTTGAGACGGAAGCAACATGTTATATCTCATTTTGATTAATCGATCAAAATATCTAAATGAAGTTATCTATACCAAGAAAAATATCAGATAAAAGTTTTCCAGAGTTGTCCTTTGTCTTCAGGAAAAAGCCTTTAAGATACCTGTGCTATTTACTATTTTGCCTAGAATCATTTTGCTTTGTCCTAAAATACCACCATGTGGTATTTGAATTAGTTTTATAAACAAAATTATATTATAAGAACCAAATTCATACAAATTTAAAAATAACGTATGTTAAATATTATAATAATAATTTTAATTTATTTTTATTTTTATTAAATATTTTTATCATTATTATATTAATAAAAAAGTTGTAAAAGTTGTTGTATAGATTGAAAAGTGTCAAAATATCATTACTTCTTTTCATTAAAACTTTATATAAATTTTATTTTACATATGTTATCGGATTTTTTGCAATGTCAGACTAATACTAATAATGTAAAAGATATAAATTTATATCAATAAAATAATCAATATTAAATTATGTTAAATATTTAGAGGATCAAAGTATAAAAGTTTCACAAATTAAAAAAAATTGTGCAAATTGACGTCAGAGGATATTATTTGATGTAAATTTACGTATGTTAAAAGCTAATCTAGCATAATAAATTTTAACATATTTTTAAATATTGATTTGGTTTTTTCTTACAATCAAATCCTGTACATGAATTTTTAATACAACAAATTCTAGACAATTCAGAATACAACACCTTTATCCAAAATTATCCAATTAAATAAAAGATAAATTTTTTAAAATATAAACTACTTAAAAACTAAAATAGTTATAAAAATTAAACTACTTACTAAACTACATAATTATCTAACTAAATTACCCAAAATTCAAAAGAGTGACTATTTTAGAAATTAAACTTCATAATACAATACAAACTAAACACAAAGTATTATATATTTTCAACAAAAAAGAATTTGTCATTTGCTCTTGTAGTTATGTTATATCATCTTCTAATAACCAAGATAAATCTTGAAAGACATGAAACATTAATTTGACTTTCATTAACATGCAATAGTAAAAAAGAGTAAATAAATTAACAAATGATAAAATGAATTACCTCCATTCAAAAATCAATAATACCCACACAAATTATGATTCTCATCCTATATATGATATTGTAGTCACATTCATACAAATTTAATTGTCTATTACACTAAAATAAGAAACTAAACACAATATTATTTTCAAAATTTATATACATACAATAATTATGGTCTCTATTAAATAATTTCTTAACCTTAAGGTAAATAAAGTGCACTTTCTTTGTTTTGTCTCTTTCACTTCAAATATTACTTCCAAGCACAATTCTATTTGAAATAAAGAGGGATATTAATCAATATATATGTACACTTTTAAAACTTAATTAAAAAAGATAAAGTTATCCTTGTAATAAATTTTTCAATTTTTGGTTGGATTTTTGGTGCAACGAACAAAACTACATCACAATGTAATCCTTATGAATGATTACAATTAATTATCAATGATACCTACATGGTATGACAAACACATTAGTTATAAAATTGACATGATTAAAGAAACAAATTAAAAAATTAACGCTTTAATATATGAAGTTAAGTATATATATATTTGTGAGTCACTTATTTATGTTTGCATATACTTGTTGGATTTGGATCTTCGTGTCCCAAATTTTTGGATGGATTGAGACTCAATAAATTTATATACTTTTGATTTTGCTTGCTCCACACTCAATTTGTCGATGTATCTAACTCAATGAATTATAAGTTAAATATAATTATTGTAATATCATAAACAAAAATGAAAAAGACTTACATGGTCCACAATTGTACGATAAAAATGTTTAACATATAGTTTGCCCCAACAATCTCTAATGTGTTGAGCCAAAAATGTATCGTGGAATAACATAATTGTCAACAACAAAAACTCTATTGTCCCACTGTATTTGAGTCAGTCTCTTCCTCAATCATGGTAATACAGTCAGAAGCTCAGATATGAGATTATTCTTAGCTTATACCATATCCTCATCAATAACAAGTTCTCTCAAAACCTATTTACCATGATGGATAAAATCATAATCAAATGATAAAAATTGGTTAAATATTTATAGAATTATAAAAATACTAAGTGAGAGAAGGAATATAACATATATTACCTTTGCTCGTATTAAGAGTGACAATCACTACTACAGATATGCCTTTCAACGTCGGTTCTATAAGGCTTTCAACGTCTGTTATACAACCGACGTTGTATCAAGCGACGTTGAAAGTATACACTTTCAACGTCGGTTCTCTATACCCGACGTTGAAAGTTTTGGCTTTCAACGTCGGTTATTCGAAGCGACGTTGAAAGTGTATACTCGTCGCTCAAGCGAGTACACTCGTCGCTCAAGCGAAATTGAACCAAGAGACCCCTTTGTTTGAAGCTTTCGTCGCTTAAGCGAGTACACTCGTCACTCAAGCGAGATGGAACCCGAGAGTCCCCTTTGTTTGAAGCTGTCGTCACTTAAGCGATTAAACTCGTCGCTCAAGCGAGATGGAACCCGAGAGTCCCCTTTGTTTGAAGCTTTCGTCGCTTAAGCGAGTCCACTCTTCGCTCAAGCGAGATGGAACCCGAGAGTCCCCTTTGTTTGAAGCTGTCGTCGCTCAAGCGAGTATAGTCGTCGCTCAAGCGAATACGGGTTTACTACGTCGGTTATGGTATGAACCGACGTAGAAAGTCTATTTTTTTTTTAAATGGACGATTTGTTTATACAGGGTACCCAATGTTTGTATATATACATACCTGCAAATTTGAATACAACCCAGGCATACAATGTACAAGATATAAACAATTGAATATGCATCCAAAAATAAAATTGTATCCAAAATTATTGTGTATCCAACTACTTATCTACCAAATACACTAACTACTAATCTAACTAATAAACTAACTAGTAAACTAACTAGTAAAGTAACTAAACTAACTACTAAACTAACAACTAAACTAACTACTAAACTAACTACTAAACTAACTACTAAACTAACTACTAAACTAAGTACTAAATTAATAACTAAACTTGCCTACTTCTAACTTTAACAAACTTATCGGCCCATGTGTTTCTAATATCGTCAATGGTCTCTATGGGCAATGCTTCCCTGTCTGAAAATACCTGTTACAAGAAAAAAGATAATTTAACAGAGTATCCAATGACACAATATTGGGTCTTTTATTGAATACTAAATTTAAGCAAACCTGATTCCATGTATCCTCAATCTTGCTAACAACAATCAGCCACATCCAGTGCATAACATAATATTCGCACTCATAAGATCCTGGTTGCCTATTACACTACAAAAAATAATATATTAATTTGACATATAAAATGAATGATATAATACATAAATATAAAAGGACTTACATTAACAAAAATCCAATCTGGAGTCTTGCTTTTGCTTGTGTGTACTCCATCAATTGTATTGCAAACCTTAAATGCACTGTGCAATACAAGATATAATGAAACAATTAAGTAACAAAACAATTAATAATTGTTTAAATTATTATAAGAATGTGTACCTGTTTACAATGTTTTTAAGATCTGCATCAGGTTTCTTGCCCGATGAGCAGAACCAAGCCACAACATTCTGCTTTGGGCAAACAACCAACAACTGCCAATGATTTCGCTTACATTACAAAAAGTTAGGATAATACAATACACTATAAAATTTAATATGAATAATTTCATACGCTTAAATACTTACTGATGGTGGTAAGCACCCAAGTAAACTTTCTTCCTTGACTTCATCATCCAATTTTGGATGTATCTTTGAACTTCTTCTCTCTTGTTTCCTGATTTTTGTATGGATTGGGGCTCAAAAAATCCATACACATCTTGGGTGCGTTGCTCCTCCGACAATTCATTCATCATTCTAAAGTAGCCAGTTCAATGTACATTAAATATGACGATAACTTCAAATAACATAATTAGTAAATAAAAATAAATACTTACATTGTCCAAAATTATAACACCTGCTATGTTTAGACACTCGATTTCCAACCTGCTATCTCCATAGCATTCGTGTGCTCAATGTAAAGGGAAAGTTCTTATTGTCTACCCCTAACTTATCAACATCCCACTTCACTTGAAAAGATTGAATATACAACTGTGGGACAACAGATAGTAGTTGAAAAATTGGATTTTCTGGGACATCTACTTCCTTACCTTTACTAGTATGGGAAGTAGGAACCGAGTTAGGCAACTGGGTGGCTTCTGAACATCCTACATAAAATAATATTGACTTGAGAAATAATAAAAAACAGGACCAGAACTACATATGATAATTAACAGAAAGTATATGCAAACCTTTTTCAAAATAGGCCTGATTAGATGTCTAGGCCATGCAATGAAGGTCTGGAGGGCCTGTCCCACCTGTCATCACCTCGTCGTGGGCACAGGTACAAGAGCATAAGCATCTCGAACCTCTTCAATGACCACTTTGGCCAAGTTAGGTGCTAAAGGCACACTATGAATTGTAGAGGCCCCTCTTCAATTGAACCAACCGCCACCAATCGTGGTTCAGATCCATCCTCATCAACATAAAATTCACACTCGACCTG